TGGCGGCTCACTCCTCTTATCAACTGCATCTCCACTCCCTTGACTCATCTTTCAGCTCCCCTTTTGCTGTCCACACCGAAGATCCACAAAAGTTTCACAAGTCTCGGCGCCAACAAAATTTCGGCAGAGTTTCCCTTTAGCGGAAGTCACATCCAACCTCCAGAACTCCACTTAGGCACACCCACAGGCCATGGTGGGTCTAGGAGGGTCTTCAAACCTCAGTAGACTGCCCACAAAGTCCTTAATCCGCTCTGGTACCACTTGTTAGAGATTAAAGCCCGCGGCCCATATTGCGGAGCGCGCAGGTCAAGTTTTAAATACTTGATAGCGTTGACTTGGCAACCTTGAAAAAAGAACCAGTGCAAATTGGGACTATCGAGCAGCAACTGAACCACCAGGGGAAAAACGAGGGCAGGTTAGGTTTGACGAAACAAAACGAAAAGTTCGAAATCAGAAGTTCTCGCCACAACCCAACTGGAAGAACTCCCTCCCCGTCATGCAAACTTGTTGGACTAGAATTCTGGACAGAAAAGTCGACTTCACAAGAAACGCCGTCGACGAAATACGCACTGCTAAAACTTCACCAAAATCATATATATTATAGCACTAGACCATAGCTACAATTCCCAATTTGAATCGTATCAAAAAGTGAAGTAAATCGTGAGTTACGAATTTTGGCGCACTAGGGGGTATGCTGGAGCTGAAACTTAACTCAATCACAATTATCTCCCACGAACCACACAAGAAAATTAGAGTACCAATAAACCAGGTAGGAGAGGATGAGGAGGACGAGAGGGAAGGTCCCAAGAGAGTCCCCAACCAAGGAAACCCCATACCACACAATTCCCCTCTCTATAGGCACCCCAACTTTGACATTTGTCACTTTCCCAACCCATGCCATCCACCTCACCCAACTTGGCCACACTTGCCAACCTGGTTTGGGTTCTCCCAACCACTTGGCATCATCTACAGTGATGGTGACGAATTTCCCAACCCCCAAAAGTCTATACCCCATATTGAGTCACTCCGCAAATTCCCATTGTCGCCGCGTCACAATCAAAACTCTGAACGGTCATATCTTTCTTGTTCTTGCTCCGATCGCGGCGATTCTTGGTTCGTCGGAAAGCTCTTGAGCAGAGAAGTCATTTCAAATATCTGCTCAGAGAATCCAAACCACACCAAACACAAATTCTTGCACACGCTCACACCACGTATGCAACGCACGAACATAAGATGGGAGGCAGACAGATGTGAATGCAAATGATAGCATCACATAACAAGTTTTACTCACTAAGGAGCACCTCATTGCAGCCTATAACAAATAATAACTTTTGACACACTCCCATAGGCTAAGTGAGGGGCATCAAAGCCAGCAGGGTGAACAAACGGTCACAAGACCAGTCAATACAAGAAGCAAAGCAAGCTCAGGGTGGATCTCAAGGACACCACACAAATTCCGAGCACAAGCAAGCGGCCACAAGGCCATTTCAAGACAGCACAATATATATAAAGGCAATGACAAGCAGAACACGCAACAAGAGCAACACTATAGCAATCGTGGGCCTACCTCGACAAGCCCTAGCTGCACACATAACCTGTGGTGGTCACCAGGCGCCAAGGCCTTGGTGAAGACGTCGACAGTGTTGGCCTCTTATGCCACAAAGTCCAAGCGTGCCTGGCCGCGTCGTTGTAGCTCTCGCAGGAGAAAGTACCTCACGTCAATATGCTTCACTCTGCTTTCCAGTCGAGCAAGAAGGTCAACAAGCGAAGCTCCTGTGCCGCCATGGCACCAGCGTAGATCTCTGCCTCTGCACTGGACGAAGCCACAGACGACGACCGTGTAGACCTCCACGACACAGCACCAGCACCCAGACTGAAGCAGTAACCCTGAGTCGAACGCTGGGTCTCCACGCCGTCACTGTAGAAAGAGTCGTAGTGATCGGTCAATACAACGGGCTGTGTCCCTCCAAGCATAAGCCCCATGCCTGATGTAGTCGCCAGGTACTTCGCCACCCTCACAGGAGCTGTCCAGTGAAGAGGACGGTGTCTCCCAGTCGCAACAAAGCGAGAAAGGACGCTGAGGGGAAAGGCGAGGACCGGCCGAGTACAAAACATCAGGTACATGAGGCAGCCCACAAGCTCTGCGTAGGGACCACTGGACTCAAAGGGCTCGTCGGGAAAAGGGCCAGTGAGTCGGTGGTCAACGGCAAGAGGAGTGGGCAGTGTGGTGGAGAACTGAAACCCGAACCGCCGAAGGACCTGCTGCACCATGTGTGACTGAGTCAGTGTGATGGTGCGAGCGGCTCTGTCCCTGGTGATTTGCAGGCCAAGGTAGCGCTGCAGTTCACCGAGGTCTGTGCACTTGTGTCTCTTCTGCAATTCAGACTTCACCTCAGCCAGAGTTGCCCTGTCTGCTGTAGCAAAGACCAAGTCGTCGACGTAAACTAGTATAAAGAAAGGAGTGGAACCAGCGCGAACAAACAGCGACGGGTCGGCAGAGGAAGGTCGAAACCCAAGGTCACGAAGCGTGGAGCGAAGAGTGTCGTGCCACTCACGGGGCGACTGGCGGAGACCGTAGACTGGTCGCCTCAGGCTCCACTGGGTCCTAGGTGGGAAGGTGTCGGTGAAGCCAGGAGGACGCCGCAGCCAGATCTCCTCGTGTAGGCGGCCGTGGAGAAACGCAGTGGAGAAGTCGAGGGAGTGCAGCTTGTAGTCTTGCTGTGCTGCTACGTGCAGTGACACATGAAGAGTAGTCATCTTCGGGGTCGGGGCGAAGGTCTGGACGAAGTCAACTCCCTCACGCTGACTGAAACCCCTAGCCACGTAGCGCGCCTTGAACGCAGGCGGTGATCCAGGCGGCCGCTTCACCTTGAAGAGCCACATGCCATCGACAACGTTCGCCCTGGGAGGGGGAACTGCATCGACGTAAGTGCCTGTGGATCTCCAAGACGCTAACTCTGAGTCCATAGCCGCTTTCCACTGAGAGGCCCACTCCCCTGACACTGCCTCACGGTACGTGCGAGGTGTCGGTATGTCAAGGGCATCGTGGTCTCCCTCAAGGGAAAGCAGCATGGCGCAGAGAGAGGGGGAAGCGGATGCTAAGAACTCTAGCTCAAACTGCCTGTCCTCTAGGATGTCACAGCCAAGGGCAGACTCACCCCTGACGGACAGAGGACGGGGAGGTGGAGCAGCCACCACACGCGTGGCGTAGTCAAGACGGCGGGTGGAAGCAAAGTCAGTGACAGCGGCAGTAAGAGCCGAGACAGACGACGGAGAGGCACGAGGGTCGGTGACAAGAGTGGCGAGAACACGGGAGACAACAGGGCGAGCAGCATGGTAGTAGTCAGTGATAGGGTGAGAGGGAACGTTGAGAGACGACTCAGGAGGTGAGGGGAGAACAGACACTGGCGGAGAACGACGAGGACTAGAACGAAACAAGACAGTGCGGAGGTCGGCAAGAGGAGACGAGGGCCGAGCACGCGGAGGACGACTAGTCCAGTCGTGCGGGACAACAGGAGGAGACGACTGTGACTGAGGAGGAGAGAAAACAGCCGGAGTCGAGTCCGGAGGACGAAACGTAGGACCGTACGCGGTAGGAGACTGTGAGTGGACATGAGGAGAGGAAGGAAGACCAAGGGCCCGAAGGCCACTCACTAGAGGGAACAGCTGCTGCTGGTGCTGCTGCTGCTGCTGGTCCAACTACTGCAGCTCCTGCCTCTCCTGCTCCAACTGCTCCTGCTCCTCGCGCTCAAGCCGGTGAAGAGCCTGGAGACGTCTGTCGTAGCGGTGGGGAGGCACAGTGGGCGCCGTAGTAGTCGTGCCTCCAGCTCATGTCTCCTCAGTACTAGCTCCTACAGCGCCAGCACCTCCTGCTCCAGCACCCCCAGAATTAGCACCACCAGCGCCAGTACCTCCAGCTCCAGTACCCCCAGAACTAGCACCACCAGCGCCAGCACCTCCAGCTCCAGCACCCCCAGAGTTAGCACCTCCAGTGCCAGTACCTCCAGCTCCAGCACCCCCAGAATTAGCGCCACCAGCGCCAGCACCTCCAGCTCCAGCACCCCTAGAACTAGCACCGCCAGTGCCAGCACCTCCAGCTCGAACACCTCTCGAACGAGCGCCCCCAGACCGAGTACCGCCAGTGGCAGTACCTCCAGCTCCAACACCACCTGAGTCCACAGTAACCTGTCGCGGAAGTGCCGAGGGCTAATGAGGGGACTGTGAGGAGGACTGCGGGGAGGGAGACGCTACCTGACGCGCGACCGAGGGTAGAGGGGTAGCGTGAGACACACCTGACGGGGCAGGACCAGGGGGGGGCGGGGGTATCGGAGGAGCGGGAGCAGGGGGAGGAGAGGGTGCGAGGAAGAGGGGGGGAGGGGGAACCGGGAGACCTTGACAGGGGTACCGAATGTAGTAGGACACTGACTCGTCAAACCGGACGTCACGAGAGTCGAGGGGCGAGTGGTAAAAGGATTAGTCGGGAGAGCCCACCGGGAAACCAAGGAAGACACAAGGGATGGCGCGAGCCAAGAGCCTGTCCGCAGAGGTGTCGCGGACAAGCGCAAGGCAGCCCCAGACACGAAAGGCGGACCCAACACCAGGGGACCCGATCCAAAGACGGGTCGGTGAAGCATCTGGCCGCGAGACACGCGGCTGGAGGTTCAGCTGGTGCGCGGCGTAGCGAACCGCATAGGGTCACAGAAAATGGGGCGCACGGGCATGGATCATGGACGTGCGGGCGATGTCCATGACCAAGCCAATGCGGCGCTCAGCAACCCCATTCTGCTGTGGGGACTCCGGCAGCGTCCAGGACTGTCTGATGCCCTGCTCGCCGCAGAACCCGGCAAGGACGCCAGAGCGAAACTCACCCCCACGATCGGAGTGGAGACAACGGACACGACTACCACGAGTGCCCTCAGTGGCCAGAAGCCACCGGATCAGCGGAAGGAGGGGAGGGAGGAGGAGGAGGCGGGAGCAACAGCGACGGATGCACGTATATGATGGCAGGTGCACCTGTGTGGCCTTCACTAGCGCCGTCACTGCTCCAGCTGCCAGGAGGGCAGCGCCGAGGGGAGAAGCGGGAGGGGAGTAGGCGGCAGGAGGAGAGGGAAGAGAGGAGTGAGGAGAGGAGACGGGGGGAGGTCAGCTCTGACGGCAGCGGAGTAGTCAAGGGCCGCTTGGAGGAGGAAGGGGTGAGGAGAAGCGAAACAAGGGCCGCTGGGGAGGTGTGGCAGGCAGCCTCTTGCGCATCGCGCGTCACACCATGCATCCAAACATCTTCCCCGCATCCCCCAACTCTGTACCTCCTCTTACTCTCCCCTCACCCTTCCCACACCCTCCCCTCACCCTCCTCTTACCCTCCCATTACCCTACGATGACCTCCCCCTACCATCCCCTTACCCTCCCCTTCCCTCCCCTTACCCTCCCCTTACCCTCCCTCCCCTTATCCGCCCCCCTCACAGCGCACCTCGTCCTGGGAGGCGTCGAAGCGAGCAGCCAGTACGGTGGAGGTGCCCGCTGCCACGCCACAGCGCTGCAGCGACTCGCGGATCTGATGCGCGCAGCAAGACACGGAGGGGTGAGGACGGGCATGGAGCGGCAGGCAGGGGCATGGAGGGGAGGCAGGGGCATAGATGAGTATTTCACGGGTGGGAAAGGGAGGAGGGACGTGAGGGACAAGAGGTGCAGGCGCTATGTTACCATGGACGCGTTCAGGGTTTTGGACTTCACATCTAAACGGTGGATGCAAAATAATGCTGATCTGGACGCTTGCCCGAGCAGGCAAAAAAAGCTTCCGGGCAAGGAAAAAAAGCAGGGGAGAGGGGAGGGGAGGGGTGAAAGCACTGCGGGGGAACAAAAGTTGGTCATGATGTCATAGCTTGACACCGGTTCTATCAACCAAGTGCTCCAATCTAGGCTATGAAAAAGCGTTGTTACATGCTTGTTCGTCGAGTAGCTTGAGGGTTTCTCGTGTCCAGCAATGCTGTTCGGCGAGCGGTTAGGTTGCTCAACTGCTGTGCGGGTTGGGCTGTGTAGATTCAGTGCAGTGCCATTTGATAAATGCGTTTTGGTCGGGATTTATTATTCATGCAAATCTGCATTGGGCCTCCTGTTGGTCGAAATCAAGTTTTTCCCAGTCATGCAAAAACGGAAATCACAATTTTGCGCCGATACGCTTTCTTGGATTGACTGGAAAGAAAAGGAAAAAAAGGGAGAACGTTGTCTCCGCCCAACGTCCAGCGTCTAAACGCAGGCTGGATGGACGCTAAGGGACCTAAGCGTCAGGAGGGGCACAGAGGACGAGCAAGGAAAGGGCAGGGGTGGCACACGTTAGGGTTGCGGTAGGAGTTGTAAAGCTCACTTGCGTGGAGGCGGCGTAGTTAAAGCTCGCGCCTTGTGTGCTGCCACAAGCACATGGAAAGTTCCAGGAACCTGCAAACGGATGATTGAATCCAAGAGATGATGTGGAGGTGGTGCTGGCAAGTGTGTGTCACAAAATCACATGGCATGCGCGCTTCGAGCACGTGGTCACAAGCACACGAGGCCATCGCACGTGCATACATGCAGGGCTTGAAGTGAAGTATTTCACCGGCCAGCAACGCTGTCGATATCACTTTTGCTGTGCGTGGCGGGATGGCATTCCATAGCAGCTGTCGCAGCGCCAAATTTTGTAAACGGTGCTTGGCTGATGCTTTTAGGAATTAAAATTCCTGAGTGTAGTCGTACTTTAGCGGGTATATCTCACAGGGGCTCGTGTCAAGTGGTTCGGCCTACATTCGCTGCCCGAACCACTTCCGAGCAGGCACTCTGACCCATCGAACTCTCCAACACCACCGAATGAGCTCCGCAATGAGCTCTCCGCTTTCCGCCATCTGGCAGCCATGGACTCTACCGTGTTTGACTAGGTCAACGTTCTCGCTAAAATGCTCGGGACTTTCGCCTGCTTCTTTAACAAGTATCGCTTTAAACTCTAACAATGGACTACCGGTCATTTCTGCTGACCTTGGTTTCTCCAGTTTTAAAGCGACATTGTTCAGGCTCTGTCAGGCATTCACAGGGACTTCCACCAGTCACGCTCTACATCATGGTTTTTTATCAAGCAACCGCTACATTCCTATTTCAACGCTTATTAAGAATGAAGTCTCCAAGGTCGCAACCTCGAGAACACATCACTTGCTTCATGAGCTACTAGAGCCTGACAAGGCCTAGACACTACTTAATGGTTCTGTGCTCAGTCATCAGGCATCCTTCTCTTCAGTTCTCAGGCGTGCTTTGCACACTCTTTTCCTGCCTGGACGTCTTCATCATCACACAATGGCTCATCCGGCTGATCCCAGTCTTGCCTAAGGGCCACCGCTCTCGCCCTGCTCTTGACATGCCGACTTCCAACGGCGTTGTCTCTCCACCTGCGGAGGAACAGCACTCGGGAAAGGCTGTGGTCAACAATGAGACTCATTCTCCTGCTGTCAATGAAGCAACAACTGCGTCAGCAGCTGGCATTTCCGGCTTGACTACGGCTGAAAAAGCGGCAATGTCATCAGTGACTCTCACCGACATTGATGGTTTTCTCGATGACGACTCCGACGATGAGATGGTGATTGACTTGGTTAAGGAAGCTGACTTCAGGCTGCGCTCCGTTGCTATTTTGCTGATCCCGTTTATGTTGGAAAAAGAGGTTGCCTGTGTGATTGATGCTGTCAAGGCACTGATAAAGCATGGGTGGTATTCAGAGTTATCAGCTGACGCCGCGACAACGACGAAGTTCCAGGAACTCCTGCCAGCGTACATCGCCAAGACGCGCTATTGTCGCCTGCAAGTGTCATTCATATCGGAGGCAGATGCAACTTGGGAACGGAACAAGGAAGTGATTTATCAGCCGCTCAAGAACCATGGCCAACTGGTCACTCTTTACTGGCAGCACACGGAGGATGCGGCTTACGCTCGTGAGAAGGCTTTGAATCCACACGCTATCGAGGTTATGATCAGAGGTGTCTCCGCTGCAGTCGAGCTGGATATGATCCGCGACCGCCTGATGACCTACCCGCTTAAGAGCAGTCAACGCTCGGCCTTCCTGCGCTGTTCCTCTCTCCACCGCGTGCTCCATCCTGTCACTGGCGCGGACACGGATGTGGTGAAAGCGCTGGTTTATGCTCACCCAGAAAACCGTGGTCGCCGCTGGATCCACGCCGTCGCTGATCCCGCCGATCGGTCGAAGATGCTCCTCGTCCATTACCCTACCTTATCCTGCGCGCTCTGTGTTGGAAAGCATTATGCTAAGTATCATGATGCTTTATCACTGAGCGTCATAATAACGTAGGCAAATGGCAAGAGGTACAGTGATCACAACCTAGCAAGTGTAAGCATGCAGGTATATATATAGAGATCACAGTACAAGCAAAGTCAAGAAGTGAGCAAGTGAGGGACAGTAGGCACAAGGCCTAGAACAGTACAGAAACGCTGATGATCACAAGGCTGAAGCGCCTTGGTGAACACATCAGCAGTGTTGGCCCGAGTGGCCACGTACGAAAGACGAAGCTGACCACGCTGCTGCAGCTCTCGAGCAAGGAAGTAGCGCAGAGCGATGTGCTTCGTTCTGTGCTCCAGTCTGTGCTACTGACACAAGGCAAGGGCTGCCTTGTTGTCGACGTACAGCACTGGAGGAGAACGAGGCCGCTCGCCCAGGTCGGTCAGCAGGTAGGTGAGCCAGCGTAACTCCTGTGCAGCCATGGCTGTGGCGTAGATCTCAGCCTCACAACTGGAGCTGAGAACTAAAGACGAGCGAGTAGAACGCCAAGAAACTGAACCACAGCCAAGACTGAAGGTGTAACCCTGAGACGACCGCTGCGTAGCCTGGTCGTCAGCCCAAGAAGCGTCTGAGTGCCCAGTGAGGACAACGTCTCTCCGTCCTCCAAGCACAAGCCCCATGCCCGACGTACTGCACAAGTAGCGCAACACCCTCTTAGCGGCATCCATGTGCTCCTTCCGGTGACGGCCAGGAGCGACATAGCGTGCTAGGATGCTAAGAGGGTATGCAAGGTCAAGTCGAGTGCAGGTCATCAGGTACATGAGGCAGCCCACCAGCTCTGGATACGGGCCACTCGGCTCTACGGACTCATCCGAAGGCAGAGCTGAGAGCGAGTGACCGGTAGGCAGAGGAGTGGGCTGAGGCGAGGAGTACGTGAAGCGGAAGCGCTGAAGGACCTGCTGCACCATGTGTGACTGAGTCAAGGTGATGGTGCGCTGTGCTCTGTCCCGGGTGATCCGCAAGCCAAGATAGCTTGTCAGTTCACCCAGGTCTGTGCACGTGTGTCTCTTCTGCAGCTCCGACTTCACGTGGGCGAGTGCGTCAGTGTCAGCAGTAGCAAAGACCAGGTCGTCTACGTACACTAGAACGTAGAACGGCGGCAGAGTGGTGTCGGTGCGTAGAAACAGCGACCGGTCAGCAGTGGAAGGAGCAAACCCAAGAGCAGCAAGAGTAGTCCTCAGTGTGTCGTGCCACTCACGGGGTGCCTGGCGGAGACCGTAGACTGGCCGCCGGAGGCTCCACTGGGTACCAGGAGGGAACGACCCAGTGAAGCCAGGTGGGCGGCGCAGCCAGATCTCCTCGTGCAGGCTGCCCTGTAGGAACGCAGTGCTGAAGTCAAGAGAGTGGAGCTCGTAGTCACGCTGAGCGGCGACGTGCAGTAGAACCCGAAGAGTGGTCATCTTCGGGGTCGGGGAGAAGGTCTGGAAGAAGTCAACTCCCTCTCGCTGACTGAAGCCTCGTGCAACGTAACGCGCCTTGAAGACAGGCGGAGAACCCGGCGGTCGCTTCACCCTGAAAATCCACATGCCACTGACGATGTTCGCCCCAGGTGGGGGAACCTCGTCGACGTAGGTGCCTGTGGACTTCCAGGAAGCCATCTCTGCGTCCATGGCTATCTGCCACTGAGAGGAGTAGGGACCCTCCATCGCCTCTGCGTAAGAGCGTGGGGTCGGGATGTCTGGTGCATCCGGGTCTCCCTCAGGGGCAATCAGCATGGACACGAGATGAGGTAAAGCAGCAGCAAAGCACTCAAACTCCTCCTGTCTGTCCTCAAGGACGTCCATGCCAAGATCACACTCACCCCCGACGGACGGAGGACAGACAGTCTCATACTCAGCAACAAGGCTAGCGGCGTAGTCTAGACGACAGGCGGCAGCAAAGTCAACCAGCTTAGCGACTAGAGCAGACGCAGCAGAGGACTCAAATGTAGGGTCAGTGACAACAGTAGCGAGGAAACGTGTGACAGTAGGACTGGCAGAACGAGCAAGGTCTGACGGCGGGTCAGCAACGTCAGGAAGAGAGGACGCAGGAGGAGACGGCAGAGGGACACGCTGTGGAGCAGTGGAAGGACGCAAGGTCATATAGTGAGTGCCAAGGACAGGAGGAGGACGCTGATGCGGAGCACGACGACCAGCGCGGACAGAGCGGACAGGCGACTCTGGACGTGACTCAGGCGACTCTGGACTAGACTCAGGCGACGGAGGACGAGACTCAGGCTCATGACGCTCGGTAAGACTACCCGTCGGTGCA